TTTAACCACTACAGAGACGTCAGAGTCAGCGGCAAACATCAGAATGACTAGCCGGGGAAAGGCTGCTCCAGGCGGGGTGCACGAGCGCCGAGCGTCCGGTAAATCGCTTGGAATGGATCTTCAAATTATCATAAATCTATAAATAAACCACAGATTTGAGCTTTAAAAAACTACTTTCTCGCCTGAAAAACTCTTAAAGCTACATTTCGTGACACAATAACAGTAGTATTCATGGGCGTCAGTTTGGTTTGAAATGTGGTGGGGACAGAGACGCATTCGGAAGGGCATTTTCAAAAGTGCTGGGTACAATGACGCATTCATTCTTTTTTCTCTTTCGCGCAGGTCATGGTTTGAAAGACGATGTCCTGTAGCTTACTGATTTAAATAAATAAAAATGTATACAAAGATGTGATGATGTCCGACCAAAAATGTGATGGTACTTTGGGTTTAATTGGTCGCAAAATGAAATCTAATACAATGTGTTTAGTATCGTGAATTTTTACGTGAATAAATACATAGATCCGCCTTTGTTGCGTATTTACTGTAATGGTCCAGTGGAAGAATTTTTGCCAAGCGTGTCGGAGGTTGAGGGTTCTAGTCCGCACTCGTATAGTTTTTTTTTTCCCTCATCAAAACCGATGTTTATCAGTGGTTGTATATCAAGATTCTTGATATACTTTATCACTGATAAACATTATCGGTTTTGATGAGGGAAAAAAAAAAACTATACGAGTGCGGATTAGAACCCAGAGAAGCAGGGACACGTTTGTGTGCATTTTGAATTGTGATTTCTCTGGAACGAATAGAATCTCCGCAACGGATTGAAGCGCGCGTCCGAGTGAAGACAACACATTTCAGCGCTAGATCGCCTCTTATTTCATTAACAAATGAATGAAACGAATGCTGCTAGTTAACTGGAGATGTTTTATTTGTATTGGTACATCCGTGACGCGAGATGTTTCAAAAGTGGTGGGGACAATATCGACCCTGGCAAAAAGTGGTGGGGACATGTCCCCCCCGTCAATGACGCCTATGGTGGTATTATATTTAAACTCTATGCTTCTAATGCCCTTGTAGCACGCGCAAGTGACGATACTCTGTCAACCAATCACCGTTCTGCAGTGAGTCTAGCTCCACCTTTTAGTACCGTACCACTGTGCTAGGTACCCCAACGGAAGGGTACCCAAAAAGTGGAACGGTACGGTTCGGCTTTTTGGTACCATTCACAACTTTTGACAGTGGAAACGCAAATAGTTGCGTACCGAACCGAACTGTACCGTACCACTCAGTGGAAACGAGCCATTATTTGCAATTATGACTAAGTTTAAAATATTGGTAACACTTTACAATAAGGTTTGTTAACTAGTTACATGAACTAAAAATGAACTGCACGTATACAGCATTTATTAATCTTTATTACTGTTGATTTCAACATTTACTAATACTTTATTAAAATCTTGTTAACATTAGTCAATGCACTCTGAACTAACATGGACAAACAATGAACAGCTGTATTTTTATAAACTAAGATTAACAAATACAGTAACAAATGGATTGCTCATGGTTAGTTCATGTTAGTTAGTACATTAAATCATTTTTACTAATGAACCTTATTGTAAAGTGTTGCCAAAATATTTAATTATCTTATAACCGCAGAACACAGACACATGATCTCAAAGCTTTGAAAGAAAAGAAGTGTCTTTTCTCAGCTATTGTGACCTATCTGAGTTAAACAACATCTCGAACAAGAAAAACATGTAGGACGGGACTTGGTTTTGTCCATCAGGAATTGATTGGTTTTGTTGGATGGTGTCGGTTTGCTATTGGTGGATCTCATGTGAGTGACAGGTTGCCCCGCCCTCGCGCCTGTAAACACGTCATCAGAGAAGTCGTTACAAGAGGGAGAGAAAGGTTACTTTGAAGCCACATGAATTATATATATATATATATATAAGGATTATTAGGAACACCATACTAATACTGTGTTTGACCCTCTTTCGCCTTCAGAACTGCCTTAATTCTATGTGGCATTGATTCAACAAGGTGCTGAAAGCATTCTTTAGAAATGTTGGCCCATATTGATAGGATAGCATCTTGCAGTTGATGGAGATTTGTGGGATGCACATCCAGGGCACGAAGCTCCCGTTCCACCACATCCCAAAGATGCTCTATTGGGTTGAGATCTGGTGACTGTGGAGGCCATTTTAGTACAGTGAACTCATTGTCATGTTCAAGAAACCAATTTGAAATGATTCAAGCTTTGTGACATGGTGCATTATCCTGCTGGAAGTAGCCATCAGAGGATGGGTTCACAGTGGCCATAAAGGGATGGACATGGTCAGAAAGAATGCTCAGGTAGGCCGTGGCATTTAAACGATGCCCAATTGGCACTAAGGGGCCTAAAGTGTGCCAAGAAAACATCCCCCACACCATTACACCACCACCACCAGCCTGCACAGTGGTAACAAGGCATGATGGATCCATGTTCTCATTCTGTTTACGCCAAATTCTGACTCTACCATCTGAATGTCTCAACAGAAATCGAGACTCATCAGACCAGGCAACATTTTTCCAGTCTTCAACTGTTCAATTTTGGTGAGCTCTTGCAAATTGTAGCCTCTTTTTCCTATTTGTAGTGGAGATGAGTGGTACCCGGTGGGGTCTTCTGCTGTTGTAGCCCATCCGCCTCAAGGTTGTGTGTGTTGTGGCTTCACAAATGCTTTGCTGCATACCTCGGTTGTAACGAGTGGTTATTTCAGTCACTGTTGCCCTTCTATCAGCTTGAATCAGTCGGCCCATTCTCCTCTGACCTCTAGCATCAACAAGGCATTTTCGCCCACAGGACTGCCGCATACTGGATGTTTTTCCCTTTTCACACCATTCTTTGTAAACCCTAGAAATGGTTGTGCGTGAAAATCCCAGTAACTGAGCAGATTGTGAAATGCTCAGACCGGCCCGTCTGGCACCAACAACCATGCCACGCTCAAAATTGCTTAAATCACCTTTCTTTCCCATTCTGACATTCAGTTTGGAGTTCAGGAGATTGTCTTGACCAGGACCACACCCCTAAATGCATTGAAGCAACTGCCATGTGATTGGTTCATTAGATAAATGCATTAATGAGAAATTGAACAAGTGTTCCTAATAATCCTTTAGGTGAGCATATATATATATGTGCACATAAGTCATTTATAATAAACTGCAATATTCCAAAAAAAAAAATTTGAATTGTCACTTTTAATGTGTCGATGGGTTAGCGGGGTGTTTCTTGACAAAGTGACATCGCCAACTACTGGCCTGGCATGCATAATACAGCCTTTTTAGTTATTTTCACAGATCTGTGTGAACCTTTTTTACGGTCTATGGTGTGAACGGGCTCATTTTGACAATGTTGTCGGCGGTTTTTAGTACATCATTGTCGTGTAAACAGGTGCGGTCAAATTAGCGTAGTCTCTGCGAAATTCCCTTGTCAAAAAAGCCATTGTCTAGTTAATAATGCAGTGATTTATAAAGTAGGCTACAGCTCACACGGAAGTCACTATCAAACCAAGCAACTTTCTCTAGGTTGCTGAACAGCATTAAATGTGACTGGCACCGCAAGTAAGATATCTAGAAGTGATCTGCATTAGTGTGATATAAAGTTAAGACAAAAAGAAAGAAATAAAGATAAAGGCAGGTGTAAAAATCAGGACAAGGGCCTTACCATTCCTTTCCAAAGCTCAATTAAGAGCTTCTGTCCGCAAGCTTCTTTTCAAAGTGGTGAATTATTTATCTTTGAATTGTTAATAAATAATAACAGAGGACTCGGGGGATCCTGCCCGGTCAATTAGACGATGAAGAGGGTGAGTCAGAGCAACGGGAGGTCGTCTTCATTATATCTGTCTTCTTCATCTTCATTATATCGCTCGCCGTCAGACACAATAACGCCTCGATACAATGCCCGACTTCAAACAGCCTGCGGATCCACTCCTTATTTTCAACTCACCTTCTTCTTTTGTATATTCATAATTTTAGCTGTCTTTACACCAAGGTTTTTCTTTTTCTCTTCCAGGTCTGCTCCCAGTTTGAGAGCTTTCTTTGGTGTTCATCATTAGATTGGGGATTACACATTTCTGTGGAAAATCGAAGGAAGTGCTTGAATCATACTAGAATAAAAGTGTGAAGATAGTATCTATATGTAGTGCGGTTTTGCATTGTTATACAGGTGTATGGGTATAGAAGATCTGGCACACCTGGTGCTTGGTCATTAGCATGATTATTAGACATTTGCACGATTATATATAAATTGTAGGCCTTAAAATCGGTAAATCCATGAGCATGAATCAGATTCGTAAAAAGGTAATCCGGGTACTTTTTGCCTACTCTTTTTTTATAATTTTTTTTATAATGGGAGTAGGCTATACTTCTTTTGTCACAAAGCGTTTTTCGGCTAGTATACAGTATGGAAGTATGCTATTTCAGATGCAGCATAGGTGGCAATTAAAGCTTTTACTACCCCTTTAAAAAACGTATTTGTGGCATGCTTGCGCATATTTTGCTTACCGGGGTTTTCCAGAGCACTTATGTTTTTAAAAACGTCAGAATAAGAGTTGGTGAGATGTGGAAAAATGGATGATAATCACTAATTATCTATATTCACTATAACTAATTGCCACGTGTTATCCTAATTTGAATGGAATATGAACATGCCATGGATCATTTATATTTTACACTTTTGTAGTCAGGGTATGTTGTATCCACCAGAGGGCAGTGTAACCATCATGTTGTAAGTTTGTATTGATGTAATATTGCATTTTATAAATGCCACTTTGATATATTGTTATATAATGCAATACCATTGACTCATTGTATAAGCATAGTAGTCACTGTTTAAGTTTATTATCACTGTATCGGGAATCAGCAGTTTTAATGTAACATAGCCTACTATAAAAACGCTGATAATAAACTATAGATATACATGTTCTTCATTCATAATTACTATGTAAATAACAATCAATCTGTTGAGTAACATCTTACTAATGCAAATTAATTATAATTCTACAATATATTAGCATACAAGAGATAATAATTTATCACTCACTCACTCACTCAATCTCACACACACAGCATTACATTCATTCGCTGTAACATTGGGTATTGCACCACTTCATAAGTCCATCACTGAATGTCTCTGGTCGATTGTCTCATCTTCATTCTAAAGTTTTGTCACTCCATGCTAAAGACTTTCTCTTGGCAAGCTCCATCCAGGACGGCTGAGCTCCATCTGACCGTGGCTGTTGCTGCTGAGAGACGTCCGGTGGCGATGATGATGCTGATGTTGCTGGAAGCTCAGATGTGACGGTAAGTGCTATTGCAGAGGAACACGGACATGCACATCAACGTCTATATCAAATGATTAAGCTTTGAAGAACAGCAGAAAAATTGCAAACATTTGAAAATGACAGTCAAAGCAGTGGCTTACTTTCTGTGTTAGATGGGACGTGTTTTGCATTTCCATCCATCTTGTTGGAGGCTGCTGCTCTCTTTGTTGTGTAATCTTCTGGTGTACAGTTCCTACCATTGTCCTGCAAAGAGTAAAGACATAATTAAATTATATTGGATGCATCTTAATGACCTTAAATTAATGACTTAATAATTTTGAATATATATGTATTTCATATATACACATTATATATACGTATCTAGCATCTATATAGATGTGTAGATATATATTTAATATTATATATCTACATAAAATATATATATATATATATATATATATATGAAAAATTATATACATGTAAAAGATCATATTAAATATTCTGTGTAGTCTCTCGGTTAATCTATATAATATTTTCTTTCAGTTAGTATTTATAAAGGATAGATAGATATATTTGTATTTGTGCATTGCATTGTGTTCTAGGTTTAAATGAATAGTTTGTAAACTCAATGGAATATGTCCTATCAGAATATTACCAATACATTTAACTTTTTTCCTTAATTTGTCTCTGTTTTTTTGTGTGTTATATATATATATAATATATATACAGTAGAGTAGCCTTTTATTGTGGCCAGCCTAAGGCACACCTGTGCAATAATCATGCTGTCTAATCAGCATCTTGATATGCCACACCTGTGAGGTGGATGGATTATCTCGGCGAAGGAGAAGTGCTCACTAACACAGATTTAGACAGATTTGTGAACAATATTTGAGAGAAATAGGCCTTTTGTGTACATAGAAAAAGTCTTAGATCTTTGAGTTCAGCTCATGAAAAATGGGGGCAAAAACAAAAGTGTTGCGTTTATAACTTGGTTCATAAAGTGTGTTCTGTGCTCTCCAGCCATGTTACCTGCTTGTCTTTTGTTCCACTAGGTGCTGGTTTAGTAGTAGGTCTCTGTGAGGCCGGCTGAATTGGTGTGTTCAGTGTGTGCTGTGTTTTCAGAGGATGAAGCGCGGCGGTGGTCAGTGGCTGTGTTTTAGGCTGTACGGATGGTTTGGGAGGCTGTGCAGGAGGTGCTGTTGGAGGTGACGGGTGGACTGGTGAGTGATTTGTGGCCAGTCTGTTCAAGAATGGCTGGTAAGCTCTGGTCTTCTCTCTGGGTAGATTCTTCCAGCCTGGCTCAGACACAGATTCTTTAGTTGCTCCTGATGTATTCTGGATAGGTGGTCTTCCATCTGTAAAAAAAACAAACAAAAAAAAACCTTTATTAAGGCAGACATGTCAACTAGAAAGAATTGTACATTTAAATTTGTTTTCTGTGTTATGAAATGACACAATAATAATAATTATTACTTTTGGGCACATTTCAATAAAACAGACTCTTCTTGTGTAAGTCGGCCATTGTTGCCCAGAATATCAAATAGTTAAAAGTTGAGCAACTTTTCTAAGACTCTCAAAGTAAAAATAAAATAAAATTAGCTCAGCAAAACCGGCACTTTTGAATGATTTTATGTTACTTTCAGATTACAAATAACATAATTTTTCTTATTTTATGTTTTTATTTTTATTTTAGTCAATTTTTGTAATTTTTTGTGTGTTTTTGTCATTTTAGTATATCAAGTCAAACTAAATGAAAATGAGAAATGTTGCCTTGGCAGCTAGGTGAATTTTTTTATATAATTTACAACATTTATTTTTGTAAATAACATTTTTGTTTAATTGTATTATTTAATGTGCCACTATTATGCTATTTTAAAGGTTCCTAATTTTGGTTTGGAGGTTTCCTACAATTGGTTTACATGTAACCAAGGTACATCATTCCAAACAATAATTTCTCTCAGAGTCTGAAAACAGTTTGTTCTAGGATTCAGTCTCTGTATAAAGCCCTCCTTTCTGAGAACCTACTCTGCTCTGATTGGTCAGATGACCCAGTCTGTTGTGATTGGTCTACTCTGCTCTGATTGGTCAGATGGCCCAGTCTGTTGTGATTGGTCTACTCTGCTCAGATTGGTCAGATGACCCAGTCTGTTGTGATTGGTCTACTCTGCTCTGATTGGTCAGATGACCCAGTCTGTTGTGATTGGTCTACTCTGCTCTGATTGGTCAGATGACCCAGTCTGTTGTGATTGGTCTACTCTGCTCTGATTGGTCAGATGACCCAGTCTGTTGTGATTGGTCTACTCTGCTCTGATTGGTCAGATGGCCCAGTCTGTTGTGCCTCAGACATTGTTTGCGGGCAGCCAATGAAGACCATAAGCAGGCCTTATTAAAATTTGTTTCATTATTACTTAGGTATTTAACAGGAAGTGAAATTGGAATTGCTGACGACTCGTTTCAGCAGTTCAGAATGGATTCTTTTTTTAAGAGACAATAACTGAGTGCACTTTAATCTTTAAAACTTTACAGACATTTTACATTCACAAACAACTGTACTACACACTACATGAAAGGTAATAGGCCTATTCGAAAAAGCATAATAGGGGCACTTTAACTATAATAAATAACCCTGGTTCAAATATCCAGTTCCTTAAATATTTGGTTTAATTTTATGACCATTTTCTTGAGGGGAAAAAACCCCGATTGAACCAATTCAACGAACAGATACCAAATATGATATAGTTTAACAAAGAAAAAAGACATTTACACTCACTGTCTTGGGCAGCAAGCTGAAACTCCAAGCTCTGTGAATCTTGTTTTTTGGGAACACTGTGTTTATTCTTGGAATTGCCATCGCACATATTTCTGAAGGTTTCTGTTTTCCCAGCATGCTCTTCTGAGTCAGCTAGCACTGTATTAGACTCTAAACTGTACCGTTTGGTTTCATCTTTAATTTTGGAAACCTCAGAGCGATATTTCAGCGACAGAGAGGTTGTGCGAAGCTGCACCCCAAAAGTATTCTTCTGTTTTCTGTCTTCAGGTTCCTCTAGTTTCTCTGTTTCCTCGTGTTCTGTAGCAATATCAGTCTTAAGATTGGTTTCTGTTGTTGGTTTGGACATCATAGGAGGCGCTACTTCTCTGCGAAAACTCTTTGTGTCTTGTGTTTGATGGAGGAGATTCTGAAACTCTGTTGGTTTCGTTTCTCTTGCTTCATCTTTCTGCGGCTCTAGGTTGGGTTTGTTGGATTGAGTCTTGATTCCTGGAGTACCTTTCAAATGTCCCTCATTCTGCTTTGTCACAGTCTCACTTGTTGTTTTGGAGTGATGCTTTGCAGATGCAATGAAAGGTTTTGTTGAGGCCTCCATGGCTCCTTTTGGAGACATAGGGCTTCTTATTTCCATTTTCAGATTTTTGATGCGAGGCAGAGGTACAGGAAATTGTCTAAAGGATGCTTCCTCCTGTGGGCTTTCCTTTGTATTTGTTCCACACACAAGATTCTCACTCATCTGAATCTGGATATCATTTGGATCATGTCTCTGGATAGGTGAATGGGCTCTTAATGACACTATTGCTCTTGATGGTTGTGTAGATTCTGGAAGTCCTGATGGTGAAGGTGGACCCGATGAGCTTGAGGTCAAGCCAAAGGACATGGGCTGCAAATAAAGAGGATTTGTGGTGACTTTGCCCTCAGATTCAGGAGGCTCTTCCGACTTAAGGATGTCAAAACCCAGAGATGGGAAATTAATTTCAGTTCTGTTGGGGTTCTCTTCCTGGTTCTGCACTGACTTTGCAGGAGATATCTCTGTAGGTTCTGTAGAGATGGGCTTCTCTTTTAGGTCCGAAGACGGAGAGGAAGACAAACGACGTTGCTCTGTCTCTGTGGACGTCATGGTGCCATCATCATCATCATCATCTTCCTCAGACAGAACGTTGTCCAGATCACTGATGCTTTCTGACCGATACCTTGGAGAAAGAGATACCTGGAAAAGAGAGATCGAAATGCCTTCACTTTTTTTTTTGTTTAAACCAACTGTTTAGTAATGATTAATAGGCCGTTAGACAGAGGGTTGATTGGTACCATTTTGAGGGATTAAACCGCATGGTGATTTTTGTGTAGGTATATGACCCTGTATTCGAAAAATGTGTGATAGCATTAGATTCAAGGTAGTTTTTGGTTACGGAGGACGATTTTCAAACATATGTCAAGAAAAAGGATAAATTAATTTGTCTTTAAATAAAATTTTTATAAAATTTTATAATTTTTTATAATAAAAAAATATATAATTTTTTTAAATAAATTTTTAAAATTATAAAAGGATAAATTTTTCTCTCTTTGTAGTCACTGAACACCTTACCTTGAGGTAGGATGATATAAGTGTTGATTTCTAATTAAAGCTACCATGGATCGGATGCTATCACACATTTTCCAACACTAGAGATGTGTACCTTCATGACAATCAAAAATAAATGTAATCCCTCAAAATGGTACCGGTAGCCCAAATTTGGGGTCCCGTCTCATGGCCTATAAGTATTCATAACTTTTGGCAGATTTCAGTTTTCAGTGATTTTCATCTACTATTTATATTTGATTTCAATTTAATGAAAACCTTTAGTAGTTTTAGTTAATATCCTTTGAAAATAAAATCCTACTTTGAATGGGACTTTAAAGTTATTTTGCCATTTTAAAATAACTAATTTAGTTACATAAATAATAAAATAAACACATATTTGTAAATAAAATAATTCTAAATGAATAAAATAAGCACTTCCAGTGTCCACACTGCCGTTGATTACAATGAGAGGGATCTAGTTTTTTAACACATCCAGTGTAACGTTGTCACATTTATCCAATTTAAACTACTTAATGCTCCCTAAATCCATTTATACACAGCTTGATGTGAAGTAGCTGAGGCATATGCATTTTATCACCCTCACTGTCTTACCGTTGGCACTCTGTTTCCCCTTGTGCTGGCTCTTTGTTTCCTCGGTTTGACTGACATGCGATGACGGGCAGCCGAGTTATCCAAACTGGCCATGTAACATGCAGGGCTGCTGAAGTCAACTCCTGAAGGGGGTGTGGTCGAGGCGGAGGTGGGGGAGATGATTGGCTGAGGGGACGCTTTGGAGACTGGGGATAGAGGCCTTGATGATGGCTGGAAAGGATCACCCTGAGTGAGACAATATTTACCATCAAAAAATGTATATATGCCAAATTTTTCTTTGTCAATGTTTATTCGCACAGATTGTTTTTGAATAATGCGGTGTGCTAATATTACGTATTATTATACATGAATATTACCTGTTCTTCTTCCTCACTTCCCGTTCCTGCTAAACTCAGAGAGCTCAGATGTTTCTGAGATCCGGGATACTGAAAGAAGAATGCCATTTGGATTCCATGAATAAGGTCGAAGTTAAAGTAGTAGCAAATGTCTCTGTTATGTTTTAACTTTCTATCTCTATTGTTCTGTTACCTTGTAAACGTCTGTATGCTTCACTCGCTCGTGGAAGGACGTCTCAGGTGGGCTGCACGGTAAACCATCATCCTCTGAAGTGGTTCCTGAGTCCTCTGTGCGTTTGCCAGGAATCAACATTGGCGGAGGACCTAGATGTAAGTTCTGTTGCTGTAGTTTCAACTGCCGGAACAAAATATAAACCACTTGCTATTTAGTGAAAACCGGCCTTACTCAAATTAAAGTTGAACAAAGCACACTGCTGTAGCATTATAAGAGTAGTTCAAATAATCTGCTGTCTTTTTCTAACAAAAACATTTGCAAGCTGTTGGTTTCTCCACAAAGAAGGCCTTACTTGTAAGGCCTTAATTTTGCCATGAACGTTCTCTTGTGAAAGAACGCATGTTGGTTCTGTGGACTGGGTCTGATCGGTAAAGAAGATGCTATCGTGAGACAGCGCCCTGGAGCTCAGACACTGCGGGTACCTGCGGATCAGATTCAGTGGGTTCATTTTTTTGTTTCAGTAGGATATCTGTACTAAAACATCAGTACAATATCTGTATAATAACATAGACATTGTACTAAATATGTTTATTGGTTATATGAAATAGTATATATTCAATATATTGTACCATTGTTTTACTATATTTTAGGTTTTATACATGCATACACCCCCACACACTACAATGCAATATAGTGTACAAATAACCAATTTAATTTGATATCTGATTAGTTAACAAGCTGGACAGCTCTTTGATGTTAAAGTGCCCTTATTGTGCTATTTTGAAGGTTCCTAATTCTGTTTTGAATGTCTTTTACAATAGATTTGCATGCATCCAAGGTTGAAAAAAATTAATAAAAACTGTCTGAAGCTTACTCTGCTCTGATTGGTCAGATGGTTCAGTCTGTTGTGATTGGTCTACTCTGCTCTGATTGATCAGATGCTTCAGTCTGTTGTGATTGGTCTACTGTGCACTGATTGGTCAGATGGTTCAGTCTGTTGTGATTGGTCTACTGTGCTCTGAATGGTCAGATGGTCCAGTCTGTTGTGATTGGTCTACTCTGCTCTGATTGGTCAGATGGTTCAGTCTGTTGTGATTGGTCTACTCTGCTCTGATTGGTCAGATGGCCCAGTCTGTTGTGATTGGTCTACTCTGCTCTGATTGGTCAGATGGTTCATTCTGTTGTGATTGGTCTACTCTGCTCTGATTGGTCAGATGGTTCAGTCTGTTGTGATTGGTCTACTCTGCTCTGATTGGTCAGATGGCTCAGTCTGTTGTGATTGGTCTACTCTGCTCTGATTGGTCAGATGGCCCAGTCTGTTGTGATTGGTCTACTGTGCTCTGATTGGTCAGATGGCCCAGTCTGTTGTGATTGGTCTACTCTGCTCTGATTGGTCAAATGGCCCAGTCTGTTGTGATTGGCCTACTGCTTACAACGTGTCATAAATGAAACGCCCATTACCATGTCTGAATTTTAGCCCCTGATCTTCCTCAGCACTTGATACGATCAGTAACAATGGCGTCAGTTCTACTGTATCAATTCCAGTCTGAGTCCTCATTCTTTGGAAGTGCATGCAATGTGGATTTGCTTTGGCAGCACAGAAAACAGTGTCTTTTCGACATGTGAATAACATGAACCAAACTTATCAGACTCAGCTACAAACTAGTGTTTGAGGGTCAAAGTAGATGATGTTCTAGGGCAGCCAATACAGACCATAGGCTGGCATTATGCAATTTTTTTTTTTAAACCTACGTAAGTTCGTGTAGGAAATAAGACTGGAATTACTGATGACTCGATGTAGGCAATAACTTACACATTAACATTTATCGTGACCTTTGCAGACCTTTTACATTCACAAACAGCTATATTATACACAACATGAAAGAATAAGCATAATAGGGCCACTTTAATTTATTGACATATCAGCGACTTACGAAAACTCCTCTTCAGAGTCGTAGCCTTCCCTTATGGCCTCTGGAGCAGTGATGTCACTAGCGGACTGGCTTTGCTTAATCAGCCCTTCGCTTTCCTTTTTCTTCAGTTTTCCAAAGAGACGCGTCTTCAGCTGCTTAAACCGTGACTTCTTCCTTCCTGTTGAAGAGACCAGGAATAAGAAAGATTGATTTGCATGGATCTCCAGAAATAGAGATTAATGACGTCATAAGAAGATCTGTTTGTAAAGTAAGGTCAGATTTTTTTATATTTTTTTTATAATAATTTTTTATTCAATATTGGTGTCTTATATCATAAGGCTACTGGGTTACAGTGATTTAACTATGGTTAAGGGAGTTTTAGACAATATTTCTTAATGTTGTGTCTAAAAATAGCCCTTAAGCGTAGTAAAATCACTAACGCATGTATTTCTCATTAATAAATCCTTAAAAAGAAAATGTGTGAATGTATATAAATCAGGAATTCGAACACAAACCTGTGAGTTCCTCTCCATTTTTGTCCATTTCTCCAGGGCCGGATTCCATGTTTTTATCTGTTGATCCACAATAGAAGAGAAAATCATTTAATGACTCTAAAAAAAAGAAAAGCGTATAAATCTCAGTGTGTGCAGACTGGAGTAATGGAATTACGAACAAGACTTTAAATAGAAACTGTGTGGAGGAGTGTCTGCTGCATGTCTTGTTTATATCAGTAAAGATCAGCTGATGCACTCTGTTTGCACTTTACTACATCATTTCCTGTGTTCAAAGGTGATGAGCCCTGTTCTAAGCATTTGTTAGAATGCTCAATGTCCTAATAAGGAAAGAGCTGCTCCTTTTTTCATTTTAAAAGCTCTTTATACAGAGTCAATAGCTGAATCTACTACTTTTAAAATGTAAGGTAAATGTAATTGTGCACTACTAAATCATATAACCCAGATTATTTCTCACAAGTTTGATGACGTACATGTAAAGACAGAGAGTCATATGCTGGTCTCTTTGCTTTTATATTGGCAAACAGGATGACGCACAGCATCTGCTTTCATCCTCTTTGGCGTGTCTTACTGTGCCACATGCAGTTTGTGCAAACATCTCCTGTGTCTTTCTATTGGCTTTGTGTTGTGATACAATCACTGGCCACTTGTAATACAGTGACTTCTAAGGGGAGAGAATAGTAGTTCACTTTGGCCAGGACACCAGTTGCTTAGTAATGCACAAGGCGGGTGACGCAATTTTTAGTAAATACTAGATTGTGTCTACCTGCAACCTGGGAAACCAAGCCCTTGTCCAAGCTCTTACAATTCATTAACCACACACTCTCTCACACACACATGCCCTCATATTTATTCTTTGGAGTGTCTGTAGAACAGCAGAGCATTAACATTTACTGTTCATTACACTTACAGTATTTCATTCACAGATTAGAATAAGATCAATAAACTTATCAGGTGTTGATACAGTATAGCGCTAGCAAAGTAGTTCTTTAGTGCATTGTTGTGCAGTTCCAACTCGCCCCTAATACCCTATTTGAGCACTATTTGAGGGGACAGCCATTTGTAGCGGTGTCCGAAACCAAAGTGGATGTTATCGAGTGCACTCATGCTATCCCATAATGCACCGTAATAACAAGTGTACAACCAATGTACGCTAAATGGCTAGAGAATACCCAGCCCGATCTCACGGCAATTCGTACGAATTTTACGAGGTGGCTAATTCGTACTAATTCATACGACCTCTCGTACAAATTCGTACGATTTTTGCTAATTCGTACATATTTTACGAGTTACCAAATTCGTATGAATTCGTACGAATGACCTACCCCTGACCCCGCCCCTAAACCTACCCATCACGTGGTTTTAGACAAATCGTACAAATTCGTACGAGTGAGGTCGTATGAATTAGTACGAATTAGCCACCTTTTAATCACTCGTACGAATTCGTACGAATTAGTCGTGAGATAGCGTTGGAATACCCATAATGGACTATGAGGGTCGCACCAAATGAATTCCCGCCTCCATCCATTTTCCAAACCGCTGGTCCAATGTGGCTACAGCGTAATATCATGCAGATAAGCACCTTTTTAATTGATTATTAAATTGTTTATTTAAGGTTTCTACATAGTTTCCATAACCGAGTTCTTTTTTTATTTTTTTATTTTTTTGTTTTTTTATTTATTTCAACAGGGACAATGTGCAAAAAAACATTAATTAAAGATGCTTTGCACCAGATTTAGCTTAAGCTAGTTTCCATCTGCAGTCCCCGAGCAGGTAAGTTGCAATACAAAATATACAATATAAAATGTAATAATTAATCACTCAAATACAGCTATTAGTTAATGCATTCAACCATTCCCCATTACAATCATCAGTCTAACTAAATCAGACCAATATTACTACAATAAGTTCCAGATCAATCTTTTCATCTTACTACTGGAGCTGCCTAAGTTTGCTGAGTTTCAAATGATTATTAAACGGCAAGCACAAACTATGCAAAAGCGGCACACTCAGTGTCTTTTTTTATTATCCATCAGGTGGAGATTTTAAATTGTATCTCTTAAAAGTAATAGCACATCTCTCCTCAACAAGCATGTGAATAATTATGCCAAATTTGAATACTTGGCATTAGTGCTTTGTTGAAATAGGTCCCTAATCTTAAGTATGAGTAATAATAATAGCATGATAACCATGCTAATAAAAACAATCATCAGTTTGTTATCATGGCTGTAACTTTATCCTGTTGTGCTCTCTGGGGTGTGTGTCTGAAACGTAGCATGAGATGGTTCTATAAAAAAATTAAGCAATCAATTTATGTAAATGTCTGTGTTCGCATATGCACACACACCTGCTACTACTGTCCTCAGGCCTTAACCAAACAATCTAATGACAGAAATACCAATAAACCCTGTTGTCCTTGCTGTCTAATATAAAATCTTTATGCCATGTGCTTCTGAGCGTGCAGAGGATGACAAAAGTGCTATACATTCTCTTTATGCATTATAGTCAGGATTAGGATCAACACAATGGCAGATAATAGACTTTTGTTTAACCAAAAGATCAAAAATCAATGTTATGTAATAGAGGAAGGCTAGAACATCAAGGGTCGGCTTTCTTCCCGCAGGTCATATTCATAAATATCAATGTGTTTTGCATATTAAGAGCCAAATTTATGGCTGTATTGGCTGTATCACAGGAATAAATTATATTTTAAAATATATATATTTAAAAATAATTAATATTGTAATAATATTTCACAATGTTACTATTTTTACGGTGTTTTTGATCAAATAAATTGTTTATTGAGGAACACTAAAAAATATTCCCCTAATTCAACTTAAAAACTTAAGTTCAGTTGCTGCCTTAAAGGTGCAGTAAACAATTTCTGAGAAGAACTTGATATTTGAAATCGACACCCAAAAGAAACATTGCCCCACCCCCAAATTAATGAACATGCTATGCAAGCGCAGGGAACTAGGAAATATTCACAAAATATTTGTTTAGGTGTTAATGTCAACAGCGTTTTCTCAACTCTCATTTCAACTCTTCTTTTTTTTATTCAATATTTCCTAGTTGGAAAGTAGTTTTTTGTATAACTTAAAAATGGAATTGGTTAAATTATTAAGAGTTAAAGTAATGGAAAAACATGTTGTCATAACTTGATCATATACATTTTCTTATAGTAAAGCACCCTGAATTGGTTGTAAAAATGAAAACGAACAAAAACATTAAATAGTAACTTATTCTAAACTTGCCAGCAGCTTTACGTTGAGGCAGAATGTTCTCCCTCGTCTGAGAGCTTCCTTTGTTTTCTTCTGTAGCTTTTTCCGCTGTGGTCTCCAGTCCTTAGTTTTAGATTACTGACATCTGCAAATGAAGTTGAAGAGGTGGTTATAGCCAGGCAGAAAGGCTAGGTTAGGGAAAGAGAGAGAGAGAGAGAGAGCGAGAGAGAGAGAGAGAGAGGGTGGGAACAAAGAGTTTGGTAGTAACAGGATGTGAGGGCAATAAATTAGATGTGTTTTAAAACTGCCAGGGATCTTCTCATTGGTTATTATTGTAGATATGGTGATATAGATTTTCAGAGCCTGACGAGATCCATCGTCATTCATTTCTTTCAATGTACTGCTAAATTATTTTCTTCACCTTCTCTATATTTGCTCAACTCTTGCATTGCAATGATCTCAGGGAAAGTCCCTCAACGATCTTTAGTAAAAGCCCTTACTAAAGCATATTTTGTCCTCTGTAGGAGTTAATAATTACAGTAGGCAGGTGGCTTTTCCCCTAAAATATTAAAGTGATCATTTGCTTAATAATTGCCGGGGAAAAATAAAATTCCAGTTTATTTTCTGATCTGAATACCATAAAGCATTCATAGTGGTTTATAATACGAATAGGTTGAATGAAAACCATAGGCCATTGCTTTTACAAATGTCTCCTGGAGACAAACACCTGAATCTTTAACCACTGGTAAACACCACATGACAAACTGTTCATTTGTTTTACAGAATGAAAAATTAAAGGACATTTGCATCACCCATTTCATTTACATATTTGCTAAAGTACTTTAAAATGTGTATACTGTATGTTTATTATGCTATAATGTTGGTATCCTGTATTATGTGTATACTTTTTTACAGTGAATATATTCTAGATTCTGTGCATCATGTACATCTTTTACATCTCGTGACTGTGATGTTGCCAGAGCCAAGATTTTAACTCACTTTTACACTGATTTGAAAACTCCAGTGTAGTTACTCGTTCTTACCACTGACTAGGCCACGGTAAATTTGATTAAAAATGTAGTTTAGTTCTTTGACCTGTCACATTTAGCTCTGTGTTGACATTGAAAACTGCTGGTTTAAGTACGCCAGGTGTGTTTTTCTGTATTTGCATATCTCTGTGGCCAACTATGTTTTGTGCACTACAACTGATTTAAAACTAGGCTGAGATGCTTGAGTAAAGTCCCACAAAGTGCACTCAACACATTTATATCAAGTCTAATATGTAAATACGAGTTGTAAATTTGTCTCTCGAGTCCTATTCATGACTGGGAAAGATCATTTTGCTACCCGAGTTTCAGAGTTGGGCGGGCTAAACACTTTAAATATATTTGAGGAAAGTTTAGTTTAGTTTTATTTGTTTTTCCCACAACATATCAACTCATGCGTTATATAGCCTATTTATTACCATAACCATTGGATGTATTATACATATCGGAAATTAGCATTTATTTGACGCTGGGATCATTAGCAACCTATCTAGATCTAGCGAAAGCAATTTTTAAACGGTTGCCAACAAATGGAGCGCTACATTTTTTCGTATGTTGACTAAATATGTGCGGTACATTTTGGCTTTAATAAGATTTCCCTAAGAAATAGACAAAAATGAACCTTGCGTCCTCCATGATTCCTATTCTTTCCGACAACAAGGCAAAGCGAGAATCTCGTAATTACGACTTCAGAAGTGGAAGTGTTCGGGTCAGAGGATTTTCTTTTCCCCGAAAATGTTAGTAAGTTAATATTATCGCATTGGACTCAAATTTACTGACTTTTTACACTAAGTATAAATACTTCCCAAAATGTTTTGGATATTTTTTCCCCACCTCGTTACACTTGTGGGGTTCCCGGTCAAAAATGACCGGCCGACAAAAAAATTGCTTATAAATCTCTCGTTGTGCAATATTATCACCAAATATTGGATTCAATCTTTTTGTCAGCTTATTTTCTTTTAAATTAGGACATGTTTTGTGTTTATATTTCAAACTGACTGATTGTAGGCTTCATGATTTGAGCTTATATTGGTCAAAAATGACCATCGTTTAGTGTTCAGGACCGGGTACATGTGTGCTTGCAAAGATAAAGGCCTCTGACTTGTGCACGTGTGGATACACACACACACACACACATTCTATTTTTGAGTATTACAGGCTTTCTTTTTCACAGAGATGAACTTTATCCTCAGATCCATGAAGCCATGAGGCTTTGCGTCGCGTTGTGTCTAACAACGCCGTTCAGCCGTGACTTGTTCACCATAAAGCACAGCCTCTCGCACATTATTGCTTACATAGAGACTGTTAAGCTTTGTGTGATATCATTTCCTTTCCATCTTGTTTGTCTCCCAGAAGGTTAGCTTACGTTCAAACAGTGCAGGTGACACCCGAGGAGTTTCCCAGAAGACCTTTCCAAAAATAAGCTCTGAATCAACAGCTTACACAATTAATGAATGTCAACAAGTTTTAATCGACCTTTCAGCCTGCTCATAAAGATGCTAAATGAATCCTTTAAGAGGAACCAAAGAAGGAGACAACATTATGTAGTTGGCAACCGGTTGTTTTGACCTAATGTAACCCAACACCCTGAGACTCGACCAGAAATGTCATCTCTCGCACTCTGGCGCACTCTCTCTAGGTTTTTTTTTCTTCTTTCTTTCAGATTTGACCTTTCCTTTTCTTTTGGTATGAATGCGTCAATTCAAGGACTGCGTTACCCAGGTGAAATGCAATCTACGCAGGCAAGCCCATCTTTGTACACTGTACAGCATGCGATACATTCAGTTAATTCATTAACATCCCGTAACAAACTTTTCTTATGTTTTTTTTAGGTTGGCTATGAGAAATATATACCCAGCTAACAACAATGTTTTGAGAATTTTCTGCTAACCTACAGTTCTCTGAACATTCAAAACGTCCAGGTTTTTTTAAATTTATTTAAGCATTTGTTATGCAACGGTAATGTTCCATTTTATCACTTTGCAAACATTATGGAAACATTACTTTTTGAATGTTCTCTGAACTGAAGCAAGCAGTAAGTAATAATGTTTTAATTAATTTACCATGAAATCAAGTTGGACAATTCTTATTTTTTTATGGAATATTGCAGTATTTATTATGAATGATTTCTCTGAGCACATCATTCATTTTAAATTAATTTGCCCCTCATAATCTTTAATCAAAATAACTTCCCCTCCCTCTTGCAGCTCTTCCCTGATGACGTGTTTACTGGCGAGAGGGCGGAGCAACCTGTCACTCACAAGAGATCCACCAATAGAAAACCACAAATATCCAATTAATTCCCCATGGACAAAATCAAGTCCCGCCCTACATTTATTCTTGTTCGAGAAGCTGTTTCACTCGGATAAACGTCACACTGTAGAGAAGAAAAGACTATCACATTTTCCGTTTCATGACGACTTTACAAAACGTTAGATAGATCAAAATGTCCAACTTCAACGTTTCAATGTTTTTGTGCTAAGAACATAAGCCAGTTCTGAGAATGTTCCCTGGGTATCCTGTAGAAGTTTAAAAAAAGTAACAAGTAGGGCACTACTGCTTTTGTGGTCACTCTATATCAGCACTTTTTTATTATTTATTATTATTTATAGCCTAATATAATACTAGACCTGTAAAACCTGTATGCTGCTATATTCACTCACTTTTATCCTTGAAGCTCTGCATTCAAATTTTTTCCCTTTCAGGACAGTTTAGTTCTCGTTCTGCAAACATTAACTTCTCAACAGATAGAGTGACTAATCTGCTTGAACATTAACTGTGTTTTGAAGATATACCTGACCCCTCCTAAACGCTGCATTTATCCTAAACGAACTGACCTTTGGATTATAATTACTTTAACGTGAGCTAGACAGACTATATCAAACATCACACACCTGTTTTAATACAAGTGTAGGAGGTCAATCACAACATGATCCCTTGATAAACAGCAGTACGGGAACAATTAAAGCATCTGAAATGATATACGGTAAATATCTCTGACTGTAGGATACTAGTGATAAGATATACAATGTAGGAAACATATAAACATAGATTAGAAAGTGGAATCACTAAAGTTGAAGCCATTTACAGTAACCATGTGTCTTACAGTATAATGATCTACTATCTAATGTACCCATGCTTAACTGAACACACTGCCCTAATAACAAGTGCATCACATGAACATGAGTCTGACGCACCGAAAGTTATTCATGCAAAACCTCTTTTTCAGAATCAAATAATCAGCTGAGGAACAGTGTGCACTCAGAATCAGAACTGGGCATCTTTATTTGGGCTTTTGAAATATCTCATCACCTATTTCAAAGATTGTTTTTTTAACCTCTGATGGTGGCCTTCTTAGACTTTACATCCTCTAAAAGGTTTTATCCTATCATTTACCTTGCTTAGAGAAAGACATCTACTTTGAGAACAACATTTGCACAAAATTAAAGTTGTTTTGAAAGTTCCTAATGTTTTTACAATAGGCTACATTCAACAGTCCTTAAGGATAGATAGATAGATAGATAGATAGATAGATAGATAGATAGATAGATAGATAGATAGATAGATAGATAGATAGATAGATAGATAGATAGATAGATAGATAGATAGATACTTTTAAAGTTCAGCATCTCATGGTTGGAAATCGCCGTCGCAAAGATGTAAGACTGCGTCTATTTATTTATCAATTTTAAAAACAACCCACCAAAAACTATCATGCCTATTAGCCGCGAAGAGGATGGATATGAACAGAAAAATAACCACAGCAGACTCATAAATGGATGTCTTACCTCTGTAGAATGGAGATGCAGAAGCGCGCACCTGCGCTAAGATCATCAACAACACTCGCGCAGCTCACGAGACTGAACGACACTAGTGAGCTCACCTGATTGGCCACACCCACATCATGACGACACATGACGCGCTGAAGCGTACAGGTGCGCTTCTTCTAATGAGCTTTTTTTTCTTGCTTGTTATTTATTTATGTTTTAATTGCAGGGATTATAAAGACGAAGACTAGCATTGCCACTACTCTAACAAATAACACAAAAATAGAGATAATGGACTTTTTTAAGATCGGTTTTATTATTCTAGAGGTCGTCTGGCAACACTGAATAAATAAATAAAAATCAATCAAGCAGAATCACATTTTTGTAGAAATATGCGTAAACATGGAAAATCCATTATCATCAAACCACTCGAAAACTATTTACATCATTAACTATGTGTGCATCAATGTCAGTTTCAGCAAAACAGTAAAAATGATAGTAAGAAAAGTCTGATTTATTAAAAACATGACATCACAGTAAATCTTATAAGATCAAAGTCTGTTGATTGTCTTCAGAGAGAATCCAAGACATAAGCAGATGAAGTTAGTGAATCCAGCCAAAATACGGATGATTAGAGGATTCAGATCTTCTCAGTCATAAAGGTCCCTGAAAGTCAGATTCCTGTTAAAGCATAAACATATCACAATAAACTGAATATAACAACCAGTGGTTCATTTACTTAAACCTAGAATGACAAATCTGCCACTGGAGCGCACCTGTCAGGGTAGTGGGACATAAGCAGTGGGTCAGGTGTGCCGTGATGAGAGCGTTCTGGAGACCATGATCTTTGAGGACTCAGAGACCGATGGCGGGAAGGGGATGAGGAGCGCATAGTGGAGGAGAGGACGGGAGAAACAGCTGAGAGACCCTGCCTGCGCAGCTCCTGTACTGCTCGCTCCCTGATAGAAAGAGAGAGAGAGAGACAAACATAGACTGGATATTCAAATCCTTAGTCTTCATGGTTCAAACCACAAAGAAATAAAAACATTCAATACTGGAACTGGAAAAACATGAGGATGAGTAAAAAATGACAGAATTTTCACAATCCCTTTAAAGAGGTCCTATTATGCTTTAGTGTGTAAGGTTGCTGTTTGAGCATGAAAAAGGTCTGCAAAGTTACAAAGCACAAAGTCGCTTCAAAGGGAGTTATTCCCTATATCAGTGCGCACTGTTTCTGAACTCCCTGAAACGCCTCCATTGTAGTCTTGAGTTTTCTTCAGAGAACAAACACGTCACAATATCCCTCATTTAAATAATTCCCATCCAAAGGCATACGCAAAAAAGGTGGCGAGGCCTGGTTGCATAGTGTGCTGAAACTCGTGGTTGTGGTAAGGAGCGTGACATTTCACAAACATGCTCAAAATGGTTGACCAATCACAACACACTGGTCCAGCCGCCCAATCAGAGCACAATGTCCTTTTCAGAAGGAGGAGCTTCATAGAGACAGGAACTAAACAGAGCGTTACTGACAGACTGAGAAGAGAGGTGCTGCAACAATGTCAAATAGCATTCTCATCTAAACCGAAAGATGATTCACATGGAGGAAGATCTGCGTCAGGCCCAGACTGAGCGCACACAGTGAAAGATAATGTGTTTTTGAACATTCAAGCATGATCAAGACTTTGTAAAAAGGCACAATAGGTCCCCTTTAGGTGTGCGCCTCACCTTTCAAAGCGCTCAGTAGACAGGTGTCTCTTCGTCATCTCAAGATCTGCCTCCAGCTGAGCGGACCGTGTCCTCAGCTGAGCCATTTCCCTACTCTGAGAACTCCTAGAGACAGCAAAAAAGACAGTAAGTGGACATGAGGATAGAGAGAAAGACAAGAAACCACTGCTGGGCTCTATGAAACGTCGTATGTGCACTCACACTTTGCTGTCAGCCATGCTGAGTTTGTCCTTGAGAATTTGTATATCTGTGTGTCTTTCCTGAGAGGTGAGCTGCCTCTGTAAGCCCTTTTCTCGCGAGGACACCAGCAGGCTCTCCAAAGTCTGAACAGACAGACGTTCACCGGTCAGCTGCTTCTGTAACAGCTCCGCCTCAGAGCGGCTTGATTCCAGCTCACGCTGCACCTGTGTGGATGAGAACATTTACATTATTTACATCTCACTTCAATTTCAGTTTTTGTTTCTCAAAGGCAATTTGGTTGCAGCATTTAAACAATACATAGATACACATTTAAGAAATTAAATATCTAATTTAAATTAAGGTTAAGAAGATCAGAAACAGTAATAGTGCAGGCATGTCTAGAAGAATATGTAGGGTGACAGAGCTCTTTGCATTCTACCAGCACGATTTGTAATCGTGCAGTGCCGAACCAAGCTCAAGGGGAAACATAACTTTAACCTTTCCTTACCATTCTTAGAACCGGAAAAGTGGCTTAAGATGCTGAATAACATTTGTTCTAATCCTGCTTGTGTTGCAGTTGTTGGCCTGACATCAAGTAGGTAGTATTGTTTTACTGGCAGACTGATATAAACTCACATTCTCTTTGCCTGCATCCAGTTTGACGCAGAGCTCTCGTGTTTTTTCCAGGTCAGTCTGCAACTGTGTGCGCTCAGTCTGGGCCTGACGCAGATCTTCCTCCATGTGAATCATCTTTCGGTTCAGCTGAGACAGCTGACTGTTACAACTTCGCTCTGAAATCAGTGCCTGGACACGGGAACAAATCACAATCTATGAGAGATCACCCTTGTTCACCTCACCAAGTTGTTCCAAACCTGTATGCATTTCTTTCTTCTGCTGAACACAAAAGAAGATATTTTGAAGAATGTCGGTAACCAAACAGTTAATGGGCCCTATTGACTTCTACACTCACCTAAAGGATTATTAGGAACACCTGTTCAATTTCTCATTAATGCAATGATCTAATAAAGATGATAAAATAAAAATGATAATAATAATCATTTAGGGGTGTGGTCCTGGTCAAGACAATCTCCTGAACTCCAAACTGAATGTCAGAATGGGAAAGAAAGGTGATTTAAGCAATTTTGAGCGTGGCATGGTTGTTGGTGCCAGACGGGCCGGTCTGAGTATTTCACAATCTGCTCAGTTACTGGGATTTTCACACACAACCATTTCTAGGGTTTACAAAGAATGGTGTGAAAAGGGAAAAACATCCAGTATGCGGCAGTCCTGTGGGCGAAAATGCCTTGTTGATGCTAGAGGTCAGAGGAGAATGGGCCGACTGATTCAAGCTGATAGAAGATCAACTTTGACTGAAATAACCACTCGTTACAACCGAGGTATGCAGCAAAGCATTTGTGAAGCCACAACACGCACAACCTTGAGGCGGATGGGCTACAACAGCAGAAGACCCCACCGGGTACCACTCATCTCCACTACAAATAGGAAAAAGAGGCTACAATTTGCAAGAGCTCACCAAAATTGGACAGTTGAAGACTGGAAAAATGTTGCCTGGTCTGATGAGTCTCGATTTCTGTTGAGACATTCAGATGGTAGAGTCAGAATTTGGCGTGAACAGAATGAGAACATGGATCCATCATGCCTTGTTACCACTGTGCAGGCTGGTGGTGGTGTAATGGTGTGGGGGATGTTTTCTTGGCACACTTTAGGCCCCTTAGTGCCAATTGGGCATCGTTTAAATGCCACGGCCTACCTGAGCATTGTTTCTGACCATGCATCCCTTTATGGCCACCATACCCATCCTCTGATGGCTACTTCCAGCAGGATAATGCACCATGTCACAAAGCTCGAATCATTTCAAATTGGTTTCTTGAACATAACAATGAGTTCACTGTACTAAAATGGCCCCCACAGTCACCAGATCTCAACCCAATAGAGCATCTTTGGGATGTGGTGGAACGGGAGCTTCGTGCCCTGGATGTGCATCCCACAAATCTCCATCAACTGCAAGATGCTATCCTATCAATATGGGCCAACATTTCTAAAGAATGCTTTCAGCACCTTGTTGAATCAATGCCACGTAGAATTAAGGCAGTTCTGAAGGCGAAAGGGGGTCAAACACAGTATTAGTATGGTGTTCCTAATAATCCTTTGCAACAACATGAGGGTGAGTAAATGACGACAAAAGTTTCATTTTTGGGCGAATTATCCTTTTAACCACCAACATCATGATGACCAAGTGACCTGTTGCAAGCTGCTCTCCAGGCTATCTGCTCTTTCTTTGAGTCGAAGTATCTCTATGTTAGAGTTGTGAAGCTCAAGACGGAGTTCGATGACAGTGGTTTCAGCATGCCGGGCCTGTTCCTCCCAGCTTTCCACCTGAAGAGACGCTTTCCTTCGAGACTCTTGCAGTTCCCTACACTCGCGCTCCTTAAGGGCGGAAAACAAGAACAAACAAAACAGATTATAATGACAACATAATACTCGAATTCACCTTTAGCCATAGAACATGCTTGTCATCCATTTAGCTTTTTAGTTTGAGTGACTTTACCTTAGCAGACAAAAGATCTTCAGTGCGGGAAATGTCAGAAACGTGATCTTGTACTTTTCTCTGCAAGTCTTCTAATTCCTCATTAGCTTCATCCAGCTTGAGCTGTAGAGTCTGAAAGAAAGACAGAAAGAAAGAAAGAAAGTTGGACGTCTTGTTACCTCATTTATTGGAATGCCCTTGAGTAAAAGTTTGGTACCTGATTTTCCAGATGTGCTTTGTCAAGGTCATCCTTCAGCTGACCGTTCTCTTGCAACGTGGCATGTTTGACTTTCATCACTGCACCCATTTCTTGTTCAGAGTCTGACAACTTCCTCCTCAGAACATCTAGCTCTCTTTCTCTGCCAGCTACAGTCTCCTTCAGAGATCTGCGGACAGGAAGTCACATCATTATCATTATTTTTCATAGTCAGTCATATATCATCATAATCATAAATCTTTTCCTATACTAATATTCACATATTCATATACTCATATACCCAAATATCCACAGAGGAAACAACACTACGGTTCAAAAGTTTGGGGTCAGTAAGATTATTTTTTCTTTTGAAAGGAATTAATTAGCAAGGATGCATTAAATTGCATTAAAGACATTTATAATTTTAGAAAATATTTTCTATT